TGGCTGGAATGAAATGGGCAAAGACAAGATTTAACGTACCAAAGAGATTTCTAGGGTTTAGATCATGTAAGACTTTCTAGACATGGTAGAGGCTTTAGGTTTTTATTTAAGTTCAGTGAGAGGCCATTGAAAATATGAAGCAGGGGATATAAATGATTTCATTTGGATGTTTAATAGATCACCCTGACTGCTTTCACTGGAGGCAGGCAGAAGTGAAAATGGAAAAAACGTTGAGATTATTGGGGATTTTTGTTGAAGCACCTCTGTTGGAATATGAGGATCACTTTAGCTAGTTCAGTGGAATTTGCTATGAGGAAAAATAAAGGTATCTATTTACGTAAAGTTAACAAGACAAATTGGCTAACAGGATATGTGATTGAAAGAAGGAGAAAAAATCTAGGATAATTTCCAGATTACCGGAATGATGTGGATGGGCTATATCATTTACTGAGATGAGAAACACAGTGAGAGAAGTTAGTATAGTAAGAGGAAACCTCAATTTAGTTCACAACTTGTTAAATTTGAGATGGTTATAAGATATACAAGCAAACGTATCGAGAAGGTAACTCAATATGAATCTGTAGTTCACTTAAAATCATTGGAAAATTGACATCACTCAGTGAGATTATTAGGTTTCTTCTTACTAAAGGGGAGGGGCAAGACTGAATCTTATTATAGGGAAGGGCCAGGGCTGAACTCCAAAATTCTGAAGTTGAAGACAGCAGGATAAGCCAATGAAGAAGAATACTTGAAATAGCCAAGTAGGCCTTAACTGATCTTGAAAGAATAATTTCAGTGGGATAATGAAGTAAAAACCTGTTTGGAAGGGTTGTAAAGTGAAATGGGTTGAGGAATGGAGACAATTATCAAGACAGCTCTTTCAAGACATTTGGCTATTGAGAGATAGTCACAAAATGAAAAAGGTAATTGTCATATTGACAGTTTAATGCAGTAGTATGAGACCTTTTCAAGATGGCTTGAAAATGTACTAAAGAGAAAGGAAGGAAAACTAGAGGTAACAAAATGTTCTCTGTGTCTTCAGCTTTTTTTTTTTTTTTTTTTTTTTTTGTATTTTTAGTAGAGACAGGGTTTCACCGTGTTGACCAGGATGGTCTCGATCTCTTGACCTCGTGATTCACCCGCCTCGGCCTCCCAAAGTGCTGGGATTACAGGCTTGAGCCACCGCGCCCGGCCGTCTTCAGCTTTTGAATGGTCTTTGGGTAGTGACCACAAAGACATCAAATCTGATGTAATTTTACACCACATTCATCAATACTGAAAAAGTTCATGTGGATCCCTTTTTTTTTTTTTTTTTTTTTAAATCTCCACTCTCTGTCAATAGTAAATGCTCACTAAATACTTGTTGAAGAAAGATAGGAAAGAGAAAAGGAGGGGGAGGAGGAAAAGAAGAAAAATGAGAAAAAGAACCAAAAAGAAATCCCATATTTTATCCTTGTTTTCCCTTCTTTTCTTATAATTGTGCATTCTTACTGATGGAGTTCCCCAAGAGCTGTTAGCCTAATAATAATCTTAATACATTTTAATCTTCAAAACAATCTTGCAAACATAGGTAATACTATTTTACATATACAAAAACCAAGGCTCAGGAGAATTCACAAAATTTTTAAATTCTTTTAGATATCTCTAGCCCAGTGGCCAAGATGATTAATTCTTTGCACATCAGTAAACAAACTTGATTGTAAGAGTTAACATCAGTCAAAATAATTGCTTAACAAATTTTTGTTATTTGGGTGACCATGTGGACTGCAGCTGGGAAACTAAATTTACATTTTAAGAAATGGTGAAAAATATCCGAGTTATGTGAAGTTATAAGCTATTTTTCTTATCTTTAAGATAAGAAAAAATGAAACATAAACAATCATACACTACACCGTAACAGATGTGCTATTTCAAATGTGAAAGTTGCAAATATACACTTTTTGGCCTACTGGATAATTGCATGAGCACAGTATTGTGATAGCCTTATTATATTGTACATTAGACAGACAGTATCGATTCAAAAAGGTTACTCTCTAAGGATAATTAACAACACATTTCATACATTATATTGAGCTTCCTCCTACAGATTTGCAAATATGTGTTCAGGGAAGATATACTGCAATTATTTCTTTTCCATTTCAACATTCAGTAATTTATAAAACTTTCTGGATTATCTCATTATTCCAAATGACTATGAAGACTCTCCAAAAGGTATCTCTTTTATTTTTCCTAACTCTCTTGCCCCCGTTGTTTTCAATCAGCCTATGAAAAAATATATATATGTAAGCCAGCCAGGTAAAATTTTACGCATTTTCCAAAGGGTAGCTGTTAGTGAGTTACTCAATGTCAAATGAAGACATCAAAGCGTATGTACAATGGTACTGTCACTTACATATATTTTTCAGTAAAAATATTCCATACATTGAAAAATCTCCACATATGAAATATAAAGTTTTGAAATGTATAAATTACAGTACAAACTATTTTCATTTGTCTTATTTATTACAAGCTCGCCTAGTGCTTGTGTATTTTATAATTCTAAGTAAAAATTACTGATCAATTTTGTGAACTTAGTTTTTTCCCATTAAATTCATTCTAGATACAGGCATTTTCCCCCCAAGCTGACTCTTCTAAATTATGTTTTAATTAAAATGAAATGAAGGTCTAGAAATTTGCAGTTGGTGATATGTTTAATCTCTATTTCAAATTATAGCTCAAGTATTCCGACATTTATTTCTAAATCACTGCTTTGTCTCTGATCTACCATAACTTCTACAATGCATTTACCATTTCATATCAATTATACAAGCAGCATTTTAGTCTCCACAAACTCTCAACTACTATTGCACAAGGATTTTGGAAAAAAAATAATACTAATGCTCACCTCTCCATAGCTCATTTGAGGAGAATACTATCTAAGTTTGTTCCTAACGCAAAATTTAATTTAATCTTGATTTCCCATCAAATGTACAGGGATTTTACAATATAGTTCATAATCGTGTTTAATTTCTCAAGGGTACAAGTTAAGATAAACAAGTCACTGACAGTGTTTATCTATAAATATAGCAGATGGCGTAGGACTGAGGTTAGTTATCAACTTTGCCGACTTTAATTTCATGGTTATAAAATGCTGTAAACCTCACTGTTTATAAAAGGCAGGGAAGGAACCCCAGTGGGCCTCAGTAGCCAAGAAACCCTCAGTAACATTAATCTCTCTAACTGATATTCGGTATCCTCCCAGGGTGCAATATTTAAGATTGTGGAGTGATTGCTAGACGCATTTAAATTTTCACTGGGATCATTAGCTAACATTTCTGTCATTGATCTACTATAACTTTGTTAATGAGTTCCATGTGAGAGGAATTTCATAAATGAGATGATTCTTTCTAAACTGTGCTAGGTGAATGTTTAACAATCACTGAAGGCAGTTACATATCTTTAAAAGAGGCTTATTTTTTTCAAAATAATTTTTTTCTTTTGCAAAGATGAGCTGTGACACACAAGTAGATTAAATGTACTTAAGGATAGAATTTCATAAGGAAAAACTATAGCATCATTTAAATAATTAATCATCTAATATATATTTAGGCTATAAATCTAGCAACAACTTTTTTTTAAAGGCCATAGGACTTAAAAAGAAATAAAGCTATTGATTCTTCATATTCTGAATTGATTTAAATATATAATTTTATTGTGATTATTTGTTTTGCTAAAAGTCCATATAATCAATGTGATTAAAATTAATTTTTAAAGGAGCCCTTATTTAAAAAGTATTATTTAAAATTTCTCAATTTTTTTCATTTCAACTTTATAGTGAATAAAAAATTTTACAGTCACAAAAGTAAAAATAATTCACAAGTTCTACCTTTTGAGACAGAGTCTCACCCTGTTGCTAGGCTGGAGTGCAGTGGTGCAATCTGGGCTCATTGCAACCTCTGCCTCCTGGGTTCAAGACAGTTGTCTTGCCTCAGCCTCCAGAGTAGCTGGTATCACAGGCATGGACCACCATGCCTGGCTAATTTTTGTGTTTTCAGTAGAGACGGGGTTTCACCATGTTGGTCAGGATGGTCTCAATCTCTTGACTCATGATTCACCCGCCTCAGCTTCCCAAAGTGACTTTTACATTCTTAAGTGGTTTATTTTTCATTCTAAGAAGAAACGGCTTTTTTTTTTTTTTTCCTAGAGTCAGGGTCTTGCTTTTTCACCAGGCTGGACTGTAGTAGCTTGCCCACTCCTGGGTTCAAGTGATACTCACACCTCAGCCTCCAGAGAAGTTAGGACTACAGGTGTGCACCACTATGCCCAGCTAATCTTTAAATGTTTAAGAGATGGGATCTTGCTTTGTTGGCCAGTCTGGCCTCAAACTCCTGGGCTCAAGACATCTTCCTACCTTAGGCTTCCAGGTGCCAGTATTGTAAGGCTCAGCCATGGTGGAGGCTTCTTAAATAGATGATAATCCAATATGCAAGTTGGAGACTAAAACTATTTTACTAAAAAAAATGGCTTAACTGTATTTGAGTTCAGGCTGCTTGAGAATGAGTTTTCTAACGACAAAATCCTTGGTTACTTTTTTGGTCTTATATTGGGCTGCTTCTCTCTGACCCACTCTGGGAAGTTTATTACCGTTCTGAAACTCCAACCCATCTGTCTACTGATTATTGTTAACATAGTGCTCAGATCTTGGCTCCCAGTAAGCTGTCTTCTGAACACCAGCGGCCCTAGATGGAGAGATAACTGAATGGAACATTTGGTAATACAATCATGTACCTCATAAGGGCATTTTATTCAACGACAGACTATACTTCACTGGTCCCATAAGATTATAATAGCGTATTTTTATAGTATCTCTTCTATGTTTAGATGTTTAAATACACAAATATTTACCATTGCATTAAATTTGCCTACAGTATTTAGTCCAATAACACACACTGTGCATGTTTGCAGTCTAAGACAAAGACTATATTGTACAGCCTAGGCGTGTGGTAGGCTATATCACCCAGGTTTGTGTAAGCATATTCTGTGATGTTCACACAAGGACAAAATTGCCTAAGCATGCATTCCTCAGCATGTATCCCCACATTAAGCAATGTATGACTGTAGATTTTCTTATCTCCCTTCCTGCTCAGAACCTGTTGTCACCAGTTTTCACGGGGTGTATAATCCCATCGTTTGAGACATTCACTTTTGTAAACAACTGTCTACTCAGAGTCAGGTCTCAAAAATGCATAAAACATCTGTGACAGAAGACAGCAAAGCCTCTCTAAAGTGGAAGCTTTATCTCATTTTTCTTACTGCCTCAAGACCAGCTTTAATGTTCATTACATAAATTGGTTACTAAACTGTTGGTTTGCTTGACATTCATATTTGTGTCCAATTAAGTCAAAACTAGCAGATTTCACTTTAAAGTTATCGATACAAAATCACCTAAAAGAGATCTGTCAGTTAATTTTAACAATTGCATCTTTCTGTCTTTAAAGTAGAAAAGCCAGAGAAAACACTGCCTGTACAGGGAAGGATTTCTTTTTATGACCTGGCTACTCTGCAGCATGATTTCTAGAGTTGTGAGGCTATTGGAAACTGGTTGGAATGTATTTCTCAGAAACATGGCCAAGAAGACTAGCGTCTCAGAATGGGCAGGAATGCTCTGAAGGGAGGCAAAATAGGTAACAGGAGAAACTGAAGGTTTAGCTAATGGAGAGAAAAAGAAAAAGACAGAACAGGGGAAATAAGCAAAACTAGGATTCCAGTATCTGAGTGTAGCGGTACACAGAGAGCCTGGTGTAGAAACTATTTTTTATGGGAATTTATATACATAGTAGGTGTGAGGAATATGAAATATTCTTAAAAGCACATTAAAACAATCACTCTCATAAAGAAAGGATCTTTTCAATTTCCCAAAGGATGGTCTAAAGTTACTATCTTTTATTTTTCTTGTCTATATATAAGATACAGTGAGTTATGTTATAGTCATTGTACTAATATTGGTTTGTAAAAAAAAAGTCTTATATAGGGAAATTATCTGATTAAAAGGGAAAAACAAGCTATTAACATTTAAGAGCATTGTTTCTAGTTTTATTCAAATCTATCAGATTAAAATAATGTAATAGAAATAATTTGCTGCCTTATAAGATAAAGCAAATTGTAACCCATACAATGAAAATAATGTATGATATGTAAACACTCTTATCTCTTTTTTATTATTTTATTTCAGATTATCCAACCTTGTCTAATGTCAAAGGCATGGCGTTGTATACAAGAAAACATGCGAAGAAAATCACTTTAACTGGGTTTCATTCCCCCTTCAATGGTCAGTTAAAAATCAGTCCTTTATCATATTTATATTATTTATTTCCTCTAAAAATCCAGTGCTTGTTTTTGTCTTAATCTTTTTTGTTTGTTTGTTTGTTTTACTAGGAGAAGTAATCTATGCTGCCATGTGCATGACAGTCACCTGTGGAATCCTTCTCTTGGTTATGGTCAAGCTTAGGTAACTGAATATAAATCAGAAGGAAAGGGCTGAAAGGGAGTCACTTAGCTGTGTTAAAGCATGTTGCACAATGGCTGAGCTTACAAAAAGCCTGCGAATGAAAGCTTCTCTGTTAAGACATACTAAATCAAGTTTTATGTGGCATAGGTCCATGGAAACATTACTTTCAGTCTTCATACATAAGGGAAATGTGATCATAGGAGATTTTTTTATGTTGCATTTAATAAGCACATATGCATTGTATGTTCCCTCAAATTAAGCTCTTATCACTCTTTTCCCTTGGCTTCCCTACTAAATCCAAATTGAACTTTGCTGCATTCATTATCCAAATTATTTGCATGATTGATAGGCTCACATAACTGACCTGGTGTTTACTGCATACAGTTTATATTTACCCAAATATGTATGCTTTACTCAAATTTCTTATATGCTAATACATTTTATTTTTTTAAATATGCAATTATTAAAAGAGACATTTAATAAGGTTGCACAGAGTGCATTAGAAAGACATTACTGTTGCCTGACATTAATTTATTCTCCAAATCTTGGCTGCTCTTATTGCTGGAATGTAGTAATGCTCCAGCAGGCATGTGAGACATTGAGATGAGATATACATCAATCTCTAGATTTCTAAATGTCTAGGGTTTAAAATTTTTCCACTTATTTGGCATTTACAACTATACATAAAGGAGTGTGGACTTGCCTTTAATTAAAAAAAAACAAAAACCTCATATTTAAAGATCAATCATGTCCATTTGCTTATTCTTTGTACATATGAGTACATGTCTGTAAAATTTGAGTAGCATACATATTAATGAAGAAATATACATAAGTGTGTATAAGGCCATATATACATGAAAGTACATACACAAACTATATTCTGTCAGTAAGACTGGGCCTTCAGAGGAACAGAAGTATTCATTGGAGATTTACCTCATGACATTTGACACCTAGAAAGATTGATTCAGTCAACTTATACAATGCATGTAAACATATCTTGCTCCTCCAGAGATCTCAGACTTAAAAAGGCCTTGACAATCAGGCAAATAAAAGACTGACATGAGAAGTTGTATGGTGATACTAAGAGGTCAGGTACATACAAACATCCTAATTTATCTATTTTTAAATGCAGTACCAGCTAAACAAAATGTGTCCACTGTTTGGATCCAACCCCTCTAAGCATTTAATTCGATATTAATTGAAACCAGTACTAAAACACACCTTTCCTCCAAGTCCTTAAGAGGTATATTTGTATGAGAAGATATCTCATGGGTTCTAAGATATGGTTTGAAAGCCAAATAATTGGAGTCCATTACTAAGAGGAAAAAAATAGCATTTGAAATTTAAGTCCTTGAGAACACTGTTTAGTTACTATGCCTGCCTAGATATTCCATGACAAACATTGTTTCAAAGAAATATGGACAGTTTTCTGGCCTAGCAAAAATCTACCCTTAATGGTTCTCAATCTTTACTTCTTAACTACATACAGAATGTGTAAAGTGTCCACCCGTTCCATGATCCCATTGGTTTTTACGTATTACAGTTGTGCTACAGATAAATAAGGTATAGACTGACCACTCATAACTCCCTAAGTATTCACTATAACTTCATCTCCTTTCTCACCTGCTTAGGAGACATATTCCTTTGTTAGATGGCATTGGGGTTGTTATTATGGATAAATATTTAGAATTTATTCTAATGTGTCTTTTAAAGCAAATTATTTGTACAATTAAATATATTTGTATTTAGATACAAATTATTTCCTTATAATTTAAAATTTATCATAATATGTAATCTGAAAACTCCAGACCTAAGGTAAAAGAGACCAAAGTTAAAGCCACTATAAAACGTACAAACTGAAACAAAAGCATCATTGGCAACAAAACCTGTGTTGCCCACACCTGGACAATAATGCTCCCTAATGAAAGAAGGATGGTTGCTATTTCAGACATTGTACACTCACCTGACAGTCAGGCCTAGCCTATGTGAATACCTATTTTCTGTAAAGAATAAGATACTTGCATTTGTTTCATTTCATGCTATAGAAAAACAGCCATAAGCCTTCAAAGAAGCTTGCAAAGAAACAACTAAAATTTTAAATATTTGTGGAAAAAAAAGGCCTTTAAAAAATGATAACTTGGACATCATAGTTAGAGGTGTGATGCTCCTTAGAAAGACCATATAATATTTTACTATTGGGACTTTACATTCTGAAACTTAATTTTTTCCTCCAGGTGCAGACTCCAGCAAAAACACACACACAAGCACATTTGTGAAATCCTTAACATGGCATGTTGCTAACTTTTACTTTTACTTTTATACAGAACTTCCAGAATATCAAATAAAACAAGAGATCCTTCACCGATCCAAATACCTGGAGAACTCTGATTCTTTAGGAGCCATGGACCCGTAACAATCGCTTTCTTTCTCTTTTACGTTTTTGGGTGGGGGGAGTTTCACCCTTGTTGCCCAGGCTGGAGTGCAGTGGTGTGGTCTCGGCTCACTGCAACCTCTGCCTCCCTGGTTCAAGAAATTCTCCTGCCTCAGCCTCTGGAGTAGCTGGGATTACAAGTGCCAGCCACTATGCCCAGCTAATTTTTTGTATATTTAGTAAAGATGGGGTTTTGCCATATTAACCAGGCTGGTCTTGAACTCCTGACATCAGGTGATCTGCCCATCTCAGCCTCCCAAAGTGCTGGGATTACAGGCGTGAGCAACTGAGCCCAGCCAACAATCAATTCCTTTAAAGCAAATCCAACAGCTGATCAACACACTATTCCATCTATCATCGAGAAGGCAAATGATAAAATATTGGTTTAAAATATTTTGGTTTATCGAAAACATTGGTTTATTAAAATTAAAATATTAGTTTTAATTTTTAATATTGGTTTATTAAGTATAATATGGCATGATGATATTACTTTTTTCTTAATACTCAAGAAAAAATATACAGCGGTATCTTTTACAACACTGGCATAGAAATAAAGTTACCTTTGAAGGCAAAAAGTGTTATCCCAAGTCACGTTTTGCATAATTTGCTCTATGATTAATATAAACTCATATTAATTAGTTGCATACTAATATGATATAGTTAGCAGGTTTCCTGATCAATTACATAAGTTCCCATTAACTTGCTGAAAAGAAAATGTTAATACATATATCCAGTTTCTGTGTTATTTGTATATTTTGAACAAATTTGAAATCGGTCACTAGCATATTAGCATTGACTTTGACTTCCTACATATATCTGATTAAATGAAAATGTTAAAAAATTGGAAGTAACATGTTTGAATTTTGTAATTTGAATACTGCTGAGTTTTACGTTTTGAGCTTGATATCTCCATTTTACTCTTATAAAATATAAAACAACTACACTGGGTTAAACAAAGTCAATGTGAACTTCAATAATGATAGTTTTTGTGAATTAAATCTTTCTAGGCTAACTTCTGCAATAATAAAGTAACATCATCATTGTTACTTTCTATAATACTCCTATACTGTGACTTTTGGCCTGGTTTGACGTCAGAGTATAACTGTGATTAGAAAATTGTAGAAAATATGTTTATTAGTTAGAATTTTAATACTTGTTTTCAATCATCTGCAATTATGCTCGTACATGTTACTCAAAATAACCATGAGGTTGCATTATCTATAGTGGCACAGAGGCACAAATATCCAATAACCAGAAGATATTATAATAACTGTGGCATATTTACAATTAAAAATTTAAATGGTTTCTGCTCATTTGGTCTCATTTCTATGCTATTCACTACACTTCAGATTAAACTGTCGACATTAAATTAAATTTGAAGTTAACATTTGGCTATGTTTACTCGAAGTAACTGAGAAGCTGTCATTTATCTTTTAAAACAGGGAAGAGTAATTTGATGAGTCACAGATGTCTCTCAAGGAGTTCTGTATATTCTAGTGGCTATGCAGAGTATTAAAGTGAAGAGAATGCAGGGATTTCCATCTCCCGATCACTGCCATTTAATTTAGGCATGGTAATGTCTGCGAATACGCACACTGTTCTATGGAAAACTGAGAAAAGAAGTCAAGTTGCTTCTAGAAACATGCTTGTGTTGAGCGGAGAAGGGGAGAACAGACTGTAAAAGGGATGGGTTCCATGGGAAACGGAATCTTGTTTCTTAGAACAACAAGAATAAGTAGGCAGAACCTCAGAAGGGGGAACCAGCATGAAGAATTGAGGGCACACTAAATCGTCAGTCACCTGTCTATAGAGCAGAGTCCAAATTGAGAGAGAGTAGGGCATACAGCTAGTAAACATCAGGACTAAGACACTGAGACACCAGGCTAAAGAGACACTATAAATGTAGAGTGTGGGCCTCTTAGGACGTAGTCCCCATCTTCATTGTCTTTCACTCTTCAGTCCTCTGGGAAGCCTTTCCTAACTTGTCCTTCCCTGTAGGTCAAGGATCCTTGTTCAGTGCTTCCCAGCATCCGTTGCTCACCCATCTTAGACTGCTACACTTCACTGCCATGGCTTCATTTATTGTTTTTGCTTAGTAAATTATAAGCACCCCGGCTGAGTCTGTTTGCTCATCTTTGTTTTCTATTCCTTAGCACATAGTGTATGCTCAATAAATAAGTGTACAGTGACAGAGTTGCTTCGTTTGGAATGCTACAAAGTGCTGCAAAATAATTTTAAGCAGATTTTTGAATAAAAAAAGTTATGCTAGCAGATATAGAAATGGTAGACTAGAGAGGATTAAAACTGATGTTGAAGAGACTGCTTAAAAATGTACTAAAATAGCTAACACATATTGGAAGCACTAATTTATTGCACTAAGTTATTTGTTCAACGCTTACTTATTGAGCATATACTATGCATCAGTCACTGTACTAGGGACTGGAGATACAATCCTGAGCACAGTCTTCTAGGAAATTTGAAAAACAAAGTAAACAAGGTAATTTTTGAAAGTGATAGATACCATAAAGAAGTGAACAGGCTGCAGTGATCGTAGAATGATGTGAAGAGAAAACATTGATGTGAGAGAGTCGAAGGCACTGCATAAATCTCATAATTTAGAATCAGTGGAGACTTGGGGTCAGATATTTGTATGAGTGGAGATTGTAAGGTTCATGGTAGGAATGAGTGTTGAATATGCTTTTGTGCCATTAGGTAAAGCATGGTGCCAGTTAGAAAACTGGCTCATACAAGTGGAACTTGGAATGGGAAAGGGCAATATGCTAGTTATTTTAAGGTCTGTTTCAATCTTCCTCCACCTCTCACACACCCCTAAGAGCTGACATATATGCAATGTAGGCTCCTTTGTCCTAGGCTTCCATTTGGTTCACTCCATGGTGAGAAATGGTAGAAAATGGAGGAGAAATCCTTGCTGAGATTTCTCCACAGGCTGGCTGTTTCCTTTAATTGTTTCTATCAGTGTGGCCTTTTCTATACACATCTTTCCTCAATCCCAATAAACCTTACCAGTCCTTCTCCCTGTAGGCTTAGTGGTGTTAACAGCTCAGTTGTTGTCAGACCTGAGTTCCTGGACTCTGCCTTGAGGTTTTTCCAACTATCCATACCTGTATAAAGACTACCTAACTCAAGCATTCTTAAGAGTCATTCAATTTCAGGTAAGTTGCAGTTTATTCTAATTGGAGTATGCCATCTGCTTCCTGGTTCCCTGACACTGGTAAATATTTCAAGTTTAGACCAATTGACTTCCTAACACCAGTGACAAATCCATGTTGAGTCACCTAATGGTTAACTGGAAAATGTGATTCTAGCACTGGTAAGTGGGATCAAGCTAGAACCACTAAATTTCAAGATGTCCAATATCTTCCTTACGTCTCTCTCATCCCAGATGAGATAGCAAGTTTATCGTTGTGATTTCTGGGGAAAAAGCAAAACAAAACCCGAAAATGCTGTAGGAAAGGATAGCCAGATCACCTGGTGGCACAGATCACAGACCTCTCTGCGAAGGATTTGACCACTGATGAAATTTCCTCCAGAGCGGTCTCTTTCTCCATAAGCTTTTGTACCCCTAGCTCCTTCCGCATATTTACTCACAGCCTCTTTTCCTTCCTGGAATCCGTTCCATAAACACCCACAGGTGTTCCTGGGACCCAGGAGTCAGCAGAGCAGTACCAGCTGGAACTCCACGAGGTGAGTCAGAAAGGTCTCTCCAGAAAGGCCTTTAGGGCCATAGGAAAACAGGGACTTTGTGGTTATGCCAAAGCTGTTGCTACTTTTGAATTCCCTGAGAGATTCCTGAGAAACAGATCTTGGGGTTATTAAAACATGTATCCATTTTCATTGTCATGTACAGAGAAATGAATACGAATGACTTGAATGAATAGAATCCTTCTTTTTTATTTTTTTAGAATAAAAATATTCTAAATTTTTCAAATTGTGAGCTCAACAAATGCAAGAATTCAATCTGAGTGACTGATGGTCAAACGATGGTATCACTGCTTTCAAGGCAATATCAGGTTGGCATGTACCCTGTGGGAACCAACATTGCAATTTTTACATATCCGTGTCTGCCTGCTCTGCTCTTTCACAACTTGTTCCCCCTCAGAACTCTGAGATGAATACCACCTGGGCTGCAATGATTTACTGCACTTGAGTTTCTCAAATTGTTCCCAAAGTGCCTCTTTGAGGCTTCAGTGTCTATTCAGACCACACTGATTGCACCCCAAAACTTAGGGTAGTAGAATTGGTGTTTCCAAAACCTCAGGCAAGTCAATTGCCATAAATGTATTTTTAATAAGAGTTACCATAGCACAGTTGTTTATAATCTTGGTTCTACTAAGAAGGAAACATGCCTTTAAAAAACAGTGGCTTCAAATTGTACTTCAGCAATATTGTCAGATTTAAATATAGGTAGTAAAGTCATAAAACTTCATAAAACTCTCCATCTAGTGCACATAATTAGGTTAATCTGTCTATGAAGTGTAATACATAACTATCTTGAGTATAATGGATTACTTAATATTTGCAAATAATTTTAAAATCTATACCAGCAGAAATAAAGAAAATATTTTCTGAATATTTTATGTCTAGGTAAAAGTAACTATATAAAGCAGCCATCTTTCAAGTATAATTTTTATTTGTAAACCCAGTTTGATTTGGATATATGTATATAGTACATATTAAGCAGAGTTTTTAATTCACAGCTTCATGCTTTTAAACATTAAACTCACATGTGTTAGTTTCTATGGGCATACGTTATTAAAAGAGGTTAAGGAGAATATATTCTCATGATTACCCAAAATTAATTTCAATAAAATAATATTGGAAGACAGAAAAAAATCTACAGATTTATTTAGGATGACAAACAAAATTAACATTAAAATGTTTTTGAGATTTCACTGGAATTTTCTAATGTAAGTTACCTTGCTGTTTTGGCAGAAGTTAAATGACTGGTTTTGCAGTCTATTTTTGTAAGGTCCATATAATTAAATGTTTAGTGAAT